TAGGCTCAAAACGGTTTGACACTTAGAATCAAATAAACCAGAAGTCAACGACGCATTTGTCGTAAATTTTATTTATACAATGTAAAAAGAATTATGACAAAATGCACAGAGTGTGAATGTAAGAATGAATGATATTGCATGAATTATTGATATTTATCTGCTTAAAACATGGTTTATAAAAGGTGATTTTATTTATTTATTTATTTATTTATTTATTTATTTATTTATTTATTTATTTATGTTTTGGAGGGCACAAACAGCTTATATTACAATAAAATAGAGACTTAATTAAATAATTTGAAGCAAAACAGTTCCCTACTGATAAAAATACAATAATATTTGATGCATTGATAACAGTAAGACAATATAACATTAACATTAACAACATAAATATAACATAACACACACACACATACTCTTCACACTATACAAATAATGTATCACCACTCAAACCCGCCAACTCACTGTATTCATAAAAATGAATTACTTAGTTAAATGTTTCTTAACACACGCACAGCTAGTGTTAAATAAGTCAAAATCGTAAATGGCAGAAAGTTTGTTAAAGTTTTTGCTCGCACGCCATATAAACGAATTGCGTTTGTAATTTTGTAAAGCTACAGGCAAATAAATAATTGATTCATTGCGTAAATGTTTAGTCGGGACCTTTAAGTAAATTTCAGATAGAAGCTCTCATAACTTATATAAATTATTAATTACCTGTGCAAGAATATTTCACCGATACATTCACCTAAAACTACTAAAAATACAGTTAATATAAATATATTCAAATATGTGTTGATCATTAAAAAAGTGGTGTGAGTCCATATTTTAAAAAACATATTTTTTTGCTTAAAGGTATCAACTTAGTCACAACTTTCATTATAAAAGTGAAGCGACTCCCACATACATAACATCCCATAGATGGCATTACTAGTTTACTCAGGGAACTAAAATTACCAAACATTAATTTGCTAAATGTTCATTAATTTAAAAGAAAATATTGATTGGGATCGCAAACATCTTAACAAAAAAAAAGCAATTAAGGTAAATGGTTCTATAATATTGACTACCTACATATGTATCTAGGATCAGTACAGTCATCATTTTTAAATGATTAATTTATTTAAAAAGCGATGCAAAACAAGATACACATGCCTCGATTTACTGATTGACTTTTACAATAAGATTTGCAAAATCCATAATTTTATGTTACGCGTCTCTATTGCCGTTGATTAATTGTTTAAATATGTCGAATTGTTTAAAAATATTGAACACTTAAGAAAAAAATCTTCGATCTTATGAGATTTTTTGTAAAATAACTCCACTAATTCTTATACAAAGATCGAACACATTATAGGAAGCTGTGAAGAAGGTTCTAAAATCTCTCACTAGATGTGACTAACGGTGTGGAGTGCCGAAAAATACAGTACAAGGATCTTTAACAAAAAGACATAGGAGAATTTCGACAACTCGATAACTTGACCCGTAGCTCAGTTGGTAAGAGCAATACTTCGGTGCAGTATGGTCGTGAGTTCAAGTCCCATCCCAAATTTTTTTTTAAGTGTTCGATTCTTCGATCTTGCTGGATTCAAATCAGCTCCTTCAGCATACCATGTCTAACGTTATACGAATGCGAATATTTTTATGTGTTTATAGTAGATCTTTGTTTTTTTTTATATAATCAAGTGACGGGACGAACAAGTCGTGCGCCTGATGGTAAGCTACACGCCTGTCCATAACAGTTGCAGTGCCACTCAGAGCTTTACGTCGCAAAAATCTGAGGTCTCAGATCTACTGCTGCTAATCTATGTTAGTGGTCTATTCCAGTAGGATCTAAAGAATTTTTTTTTGTGTTCGATATTTCTATTACTAATCATATTGTTTTGGTAATTCATACATATATATTATGTATATATACAGATATATTTTTTATCACTCATCATCAAGTGATGATAAGTGATAAAAAACTGATCATGCAAAGGGAATGTATTTTGGGCGTAATACACCGCGGCCCCCACTTAATACCTACGTTTATCATCTTGTTTTATTCATACACATGCAAAATTAAACACAAAACGCATGAGGCTAAAGTAGAATGTACAAATTACCGGCAAATTTCAACTGCTGTTCGAAAAATACGACGTTGTAAATTCTATAGTACATGCATTGACTTACAAATAAATGGACGACGGGTCTAATACAAAAACCACGAAAAAAATGTCCCAAGTCAACCTATTCGAAATTTAAATTGTTATGTCATCGCAGTATCGCGCTGTCCGTAGAACAAATGAAGACTAAAGCGGAGTGTCGCGCTCTGTATACGATTTTAGCGCCTTACAAGTGCGGACACTTTTTAGCGCGGACCCGACGTCCATATAATTGTAAGTCAATGAGTACATGCATAAATTTTGTGTTCAATTATGCATGCGCAAAACACCTATAACGGTAGCATCTTTCGGATCCTGCAGGCTAATTTTAATTCATATTGGAATCGATCCGATCGGGTAGCCCATCGGAGTCTCGAAATCAGACGGGTTTCCGAGCGAGAAGATGAACCTGATTTCTACTATATCTTTCTTATTTCTGAGCTTAGTCAACTATTGTTTCTATTTGAATGAAAATGAAATGGCCAGTTGTGAATCGCAATTATGCGCCTCGACTCGGAAGAGACGCAGTTTCCTATCGGGAGAAGTAATCAAAATCAAGCTGCTGGTTTTATTTATAATGATAATTGGAATTTTTATTAAAATTTCAAGACCTAAAGTGGTAGTCCATATAAGACAATTGGGTAGTCCTAATTGCATACTATGGTAATAAGTTTTTTGCCACCGCCATGTTAGTGTGATTATTACTAAAGGTAACTAGAGGTCAAGTGCGCTGGTGAGTGACCGCCATCGCCACTTCGCCAAATACGGAGGCTATTCTAAGGCTTGATTTACATTGCCGCGCAACAGTTTGGGAGCAAATGTTTGTAAGGAAATTTTACGTAACCTTATAATACACTCAAGAAACTTTATATTACAATTCATTGATGCAGATGAACTGACTCCTAACTTAATCTCTATTAGGCATACATTTAGCTGAACACTAGTAAAAACCTTCAAAATAATAAGTGTGTTTTTTAAATATTTCTTTTTAACCGACTTCAAAAAAGGAGGACGTTCTCAATTCGATTGCGTTTTTTTTGTATGTATGTTACGCGTTAAGTCATTTCTGAACTGATTTTGATGATTCTTTTGGAAAGACGGTACCTCAGTTTTGGCCCCATTTAAATTTGAAGGAAATATTCCACTTCTAAGTAAATTAGGGGATGAATCCGGGTTCGCGCATTTTCCGTTAACGTTAAAAATTAAAGTTCACAACCCTCGAACAGAGTACCCAACCTTCAATGGACCAGCGGGGCGGACTATGACCTAAAACCTCGCCTGAGAGTAGACCCGTACCCAGCAGTGTGATGTACAAATGTGTTGATAGCGACGAGGTTTGTCGAGTGGTTCGAAACTGACTCTGCGTTTTTGTAAAATTCGTCAAATCTAGTTGAAAAGGTTTTTTATTATTATTCCCGGGCCGGAAGAAATGTTTGTATGGCCAACATTTATTTCTCTCGTGAGTTTTGATGTAACTGTGGTTGTCTATGTGTGTGTCTATGGCACCCGCGATACAGGGATTCCCTAGTACGGGGCTACGAGAGCGTGCGTGTTATTTTTATTATTTATTTAAATTTGATTTAATCAGCGTCAAACTATCACAATTTTTGAATTTTCAACCGTCTCTGCTTTGTCCCAAGAACGAAGACGAATGTTTTATTTTGATCTTTTTCAATAAAGTCTGTGCTAAGTCGATGTTAAAAGATGTTAATTTGATTGAAATTCCTAATTCTTATTTCTTCAAATATAAGCGTTAGTATTTTGTATTCTCACTTTTATGTTGTACTAAATGTGTCGGTATGTGTAATAGTGAAGACGCTAAATAAATAATCAACATAATATATTCTAAGTTGTAGAAAAATATTATACTGTGAGTAATGACCGTTACGTAGTCACTGCCTCTTAATTGCGGAGTAGGTTACAATTTTTCTACACTATAGAATCCTTTACTTGTAATAAGGCCATATCTCGAAAATGTCAATTTTTCAGGAAAGTGGTTTCAAGAATCTACGGACAAAATTAGTCGATAATTTTTATGCTTAAATAAAATTTCATATATAAATAACGTTGGCTATATTTCAAAACCTCATAACAATTTTGGACGACAAAATCCCTTTTTACTTTTGAAGCACACAATCAGGTAATTAAAACTTTTAATATAATTTCTAGATTCTTTTTTAATCATAAAATAACTGGGTAATCAAAAATTTTCATATAATGATTTCTATAGTAATACTATTTTTTGTGCTTAGGTACTCCAAAAGTTCACTCTAATGGAGGTGCGATATTTAAGAATTAGCAGACGAATTCATTTCTTTACGTGAGACGCCTTTGACAGAGCATATTAATTTGACTATAGTAACTTACCTAAGCAAAGCCAGGTCGTATTCAAAAGTTGCAGGATCAAAGTGTGGATGGCTGGCTACGATTTGCACTCGGCGTTCGGCGAACCCGTACGGTTCGTCCTCGTTCGCCAAGTCGTGTTCGCCGAGGCGAACTAGCAGTTCTGATGGGGGTACACTGCAATGAGAAAGACAATACTGTCACATGCCAGGTAATACTACAAAAAACTGCCTCCGTGGTAGAAGGGTTACCATGTAGGTCTGCCACGCAGTTCCCGGGTTTGATTCCCGAGCCGGGAGAAATGTTTGTATTATTTTATATAATAGCAAGTGACGTGAAACGAGTGCGCCTGATGGTAAGCGACACGGCTATCTATCTGCAGTGTCATTAATCAAAACTATGCATATCGCAAAGGTCTGAGAAATTCACCAGCACCCTTAAAAATCGGAAAGTAAGAATGCTCACACTACTGCTTAAGTAATGCGACCCTTAGGTTAAGTTCTTATCCTCATTTTTCATCAGTTCATCAGTTCCGCCCCTCCATCACCCTCCTTGTCATAAGTAACGCATTTGCATTCTGGTAAATTTAGAATAGGGACTTAAAGTCTGTTTTTTACTTGAAAAAGACTTTAAGAATGTAATAATAAAACTTTGAACTATCCCGACGAGATAATATTATCCCATTTTCATACAATAATCAGAATCGCTGCTGCGGAGCTACCTACCGGTTAGTTTTGCAGGCTACATATTATATGACAATTAGCACTGTCGGTTCTACAAGCGTCTTATTTGAAGGGGCCTTTAGACTAGAAGCGAAATGATGAAACGTTTTTAACCGACTTCAAAAAAGGAGGAGGTTCTCAATTCGACTGTATTTTTTTTTTTGTATGTATGTTACGCGATAACTCCGGTATTTGTGAACCGATTTTCATGATTCTTTTTTTGTTGGAAAGGGGGTACTTCCATAGTGGTCCCATTTCATTTTGAAGGAAATCATCCACCTCTAAGGGTGGCTGTTCACGCATGAAAATTCATTTTTATAAATAGCGCCTAACTTTAATTTAGTAGCAATTGCTTTTAGCAACTATTTAGTTGATTTTGCTATTTCTCCAATTCAAGGCGTTTTTCCCTCAATATACTTTGAGTAGTGTCGTAGTGAGAACCTATTTTTATTATCTCCAGTATCGAGTCCTATATAGTGGCGAACTAGGGGATATTTCAATCAAACTTAGCAAATAGACGTAATTCCACGTACTTTTGAGGTCGGTTTTTTTAGTACTCTGTACTGAGATTATAGTCGCCATCTTAATACCTAAAGTCTAACGACTTCCAATAACCTTACAATCTCGGGCAATAATGCGCAACCTAGAAATATATGTGCATAAATTTAACGTTTATTTATTTCAATTTGTCATGGTTTTGCCATAAACGACGTATTATTTCTTTAAGTCTCCATATTGTGATCTGAATTAGTTCCTTTGCACAGTCAAGAGAAAGTTGACAGTTAGGACTTTTTGTTGTGGACACAGAAATCTAAATAGATGGGCAATTTATTTAGATTTCTGTGCTTGCGGACCATAAGTAGCATGGAGTTGAATTTAAATTAGTGTTGCGACTAGTAGTTTGGCCTGTGGCCGAATACCGTATTCGGCCAAACTATTCTGCCTGGTTGAAGCAAATGTAAAAATTGGCACGAAAAATACCACTTATTAACGTCGGTATGATGAATGATTTTGTACCATAGTTACGGGGTAGTATACTTCTTTAATGCACCAAATAAATACAACAGAAATGTTAATTTAACAGAAAGCCAGCGAAGGTGATTAAAAGAGATCTTTACCAGCCAACCCACGGCAGTGAGAGCCAAGGTTATAAGCGGATAACAATGTGCAAGAGAGAATGTGAGAGAAATATGTAATAAACTACATAGTTAATACATTACTAATGTTAGTTTTACATAAATAAGCGAAACTTTGCGTTTTCGTGAGCTTCCAGTGTTCAGCATTAATAAAAGTTGCATAAATTAATAATAAATAAATATTAAACCACGTCACATACGTTGCTCTGATCCCAAAGTAAGTAACCAAAGCACTTTTGTTATGGAAAATTGGAAACAACGACTGTACCGCAAATACCCAGACCTGAGACTACAATAGAAAACTTAGTCGGACGCATGGGAAAACATATTCCCGCTCGATTGCAGCGGCACTTTGGCAGTTCTATAAGCGCGTAATTTGAAGGCGTCCTTATTAGTTAAGCGTGAAACATACAAAAAGCGGGTGCAGTTCGGGCGCCCGTCCTGTGCCCGCGCTCGACCTGTTGTCGTACATATAAACGCACGAAATTATACCCGCCGCGGTGCCGACCCCACTCGCGCCCGATCCGCTCTCCGGTAATCACGCTTTACGGAGTGCAGCAACAATTGTGAATTTACCTGTTTATCATAACGTTCTGGTATCTCTTAAAAGTCCAATAGGGAAAAGTTTGTTGTTAAACAAACACCGTATATTTTATTAACATCCGTACTAATGTGCACGTGGTTGGAAAGATAATATTTACAAAGGACAGATAAATAATATATTTATAAGGTATCACAGGTGCGTTTTACCAAGGTGACATCTTAAAAATCTGCGATATTTTTAAGGGGCTGTTTTACATATTATTAATAAAAACAAGTTCTTGAGATTTTTTTGTGAAATATTTCCCCTAAATAACAACTATAATACTAAATTTGATTAAAAGCGACGTCTACGTCAGTTGGGGCATCTGTAAAGATACCGGCTGCGGTGAGAAAGTTTTCAAAAATTTCTCACTAGATGTCACTAGTGGCGACGAATGCCGAAAGCCAGTACAAAGATTTTCGACAGCTCGGTAACTTGACCTGTGGCTAAGTTGGTAAGAGTAATGCTACGGTGCAGCATGGTCGTGGGTTCAAGTGACACCACCCGGTACCTTTTTTGCTGTTTTACTGGGGTTTTAATTGTAAAAATTGTATCAAATTGAACCTAGAATTAATCTTAATGAGGTGGCACTAAAGAGGGCGTGCAAATATTAATACCTAGGACATTACTTGACGTAGGCCGTTGGCTGCCAGATGTAATATGTTGGCACATAGATTCGCCCCTTTAGTGAGGAAGTCAAAAGTAACTTTATTCAAGGCATATTGTCAATCCTACTACACGGGTTGTCTATGGGTTAACTATACGCAGAAGGCACAATATAATAACGGTGTCAGGATGCTGTCGGGACTACCGCAATACTGTAGCGCATCGTCGATGTTTGCTCAAGCGGGAGTAGATGACTTTTTTGCTGTGATGCGAAAAAAAAACGGCGTCATTACTCTCTAGACTGCGTTCTAGTCCTAACAGCATCCTGAAAACATTTGCGACTAATTTCGAAACGCTGATGCTTCGTCATTTCATCCAGGTTTTGGTGAGGTGATGGGGTAGTCGGCGTTTCGAGCGTAATAATGTGTGTTTTTATGTTTCGTCTCTGTATTTACTAATAATAGTCGTAAGTTAAAATTATTTGTATTTACTAACAAGTGGGCCTTGGATGCCAAATAAATGATTTATATATTATTATTTACTTTATTTTTCTCAGCTTGTTAGCTGGTTTGAACCGCACTTGCGGACTGGAGTGGCAATGCGACAAGTATTAAAGGTCGCTGCCTTCTGTAACAAGTACTACATGTTTGGTGGGAGATTCAGGGAATGCAATGACTTGTGTAGCTTTTTGGGAATGACGCCTGTGGTTGAAATAACTATTGGTACTATTACTACAATACCATATTCTGGTTATTTCCTCTTTTAATTCTGTGTATTTAGAGAGTTTTTTTTGCTATCGTAGACTGTAAGTTGTGGGTATTTGGTACGGCAATGTCTATTAAAAATCCGGTAATAATAATAATAATAAGTCAACTGCCAATGCAATTTTGCTCCTCAATGGTGAGTCGATGGCATATCGATAATGTAGTCTTGCATAATACAATTAAATTTGAAGACTTAATTACTGCTTAAATTAGAAAAATTGAGACATGTGTAGAAAGAAGGATGGCGAGATCCCGTGTATTTTGTGACCCAGTGTTTTTGACGACGTGCATTAAGGAGACCTATCAATACTTGTGATTCATGCATCAAAAAAACTAATTGAGTACAGCCTGTAGAAGCTGGAGTTATAAACTTGATATGATATGATATAGGTTATACTTATAAAATTGTCCTATTTTCGACTCAGATCTTTGTTGGTAGTAGCAGAAATAAAAAGTTTTCAGTCTGTTCCCAAAAATAATAAAGAACTACCCGAATATTCACAAATCTGCTAAACTCTGCGTCATTTAATATAACTTATCATATTCTGCAGCAATGAAAATGAATAAAAATTAAATCTGCCCAAATGGCAGAAATCTGCCACAAGTGGTCACATTGTTCTCAATATCAATATGACATTGACATTGGTAAGAGGTTTCTTGTCAAAACGTTCCTTTGCAACTTTCATTATCTCTCATTTAAATGTTATCTAAATATTTTCGTCATATGGTGTTTATAATAAATACAATGTTTTATTCCCGATTTCTAAAAAATATACAAAAAAATGTTGATAACTAGGCATAAACTAAAACGCAAAATTATAATAGCAAAATTGCTTAGTTGGTATAGCGACAGGCACGGTATGCCAGAAGACGTCGATTCGAACCCGGCCGGATCGAAAGAAATTTTTCTGAGTATTCGATCTTTGTTTACAACAAACTAGCGAAGTAATTTCACATAAAAATAATTGAATATCAATTCAATAAAAATTTAAATTATAATAGCAGTCTATGAACGGCTCTTCGTCGTTATAGGGGCAGCTTTCGCCATCCGTCTTTCCATTTTAATTTTGCTAAGGTAACTTCGATCATTAGTGATTAAATGAATGAATGCCATAAGTGCCATTCCACTGACACTGTATTGAGATTCGTTGCCATTGCGACTGGATTTTAGTAGAATAACAAATATTATCATAATTGCAACATAATTTCAATGGAGTCTCAACGGAATTACAATGCACAATGGTTTTAAGAAAGCAGTATTGAGGCCCTGGTGGTGAGTACCAGAGCAAAAAAATTCAAACACCAAGACCAGAATAAAGTTACAAACGTTCGTTTCCCAAATTGATCCTACCGCAAATTGAATCTGGGTGTCTACTCTAGTTCTCCAAATAAGCAATATTCGACCAAATGTAAAAGACAATGTCAAGTATGAAGTTTCATTCGCAACATGCGTCTTTTGACTTGGTCGGGTATTACTTATCTTTACTTATAATGCAGCCGTGGTAGCGTAATGGCTTAACCTACTGCCTCTCAAGCAGAGGGTTCGAATCCGGGTTCGCACCTCTGAGTTTCTCGGAATTTACGTGCGAAATTTTTTTTTAATTTATCATATCAGTACAAAGGTCTCTAACAAAAACATATGAAAATTTCGACAACTCGATAACTTGACCCGTAGCTCAGTTGGTAAGAGCAGTGTTACGGTGTAGCATAGGTTCAAGACCCACCGAAGAAATGTTTCTATGTGTTCGATCTTTATAATGGTAATTATATCGGTACCTTGATAATTATAAAATTAATCCTTCCAACAAAATGCCATGTCGTGACGTGTTTGTATCCGAAACGTATCCAAACGTGTCAAATGTCAATCTCAAAGAAAGTCACAAACCAAACCGTTTATCCAAAAATTTTTCTTCGTGTTTATGTAGTTTTATTACTGTTTGTCATTTTTAATAAAAAAATAGAAAGACAAAACTATAAAACAGCATGGAAAATTATCGGACATATAATTATCAAAATAAAAAAAAATCGATATCGATAAAAAATACTCACTGTTCAACACAATGCGCCGCAGTAATCGCCCAGTTTTCATTCAATAGTGCTGCTCCACACTTGTGCAGATACGTCGATGTTCGGTATTGTCGTAGCGAAATCTGCCAGGGCCATTGTCCGAAGCCTGACTTTGCGCCGCCGACGATTCTGCCTTGTGGCCAAAGGCGACGTCCACATACTGCCAGAACCAGGAGCGTAGAGTTTATTATCATTTTTACTAATTATAAAAGCCACAAAAAGTCTGAGGACTTCACTATAGTACAAGTTTTTAAGAACACTTTTTAATAACAAAATTTTAGAAAAGTTGTGCGTTTATTTTTGTACAATTGTCACTTAGTTTTGTCATAATTTTTTAAAGGTTTATAGAGTTCAGCACTAGAAGGGTTTTTGCATAGCACCAAGCTCATATAATCACTAATTTTATATGATACTGATAAAGGCCGGAGTCCATTAATTTAAATAATTTATTTGATCAGTTATTTAAAAATATATATATCTCTCATAAATTAGAGTATTCAATCAGTGCAGGCAAATTATTCTTCGCCTTTTTATCATTAAAAAATATATATTATTTACGAATATGTATTAATCTTAATTGTTTTTTTTTCGACTAGATCAAGTTACTGTTGTTTCAAAGTGTTGTTTGTTACATTCACACTTGATAAAGAAAATAACTGAAAATAGTTTAAGGTTCGCCACGTAATCACAATAATACAAAATTTTAAATGTGTCTATAGCAAATTAAAAGTCAAATAATCAAGTTATACAGCCTTTAAAAAGGCTACTTGCACCACGACATCATAAAAACTAGACAAAACTCGTCCGAACACAGACACTCTTATCACTAGTTTTTGTGCTTCCAACATGTGTCATGCCTTTAAAATTCTTAAGACTTAATCTTTTCAAATTATAGATTTGTATGTATATTAACCACTTTTTCACAAAAATTCTAAAGAACACTTTAAAATAGACAAGCTACTATATAAACACTGTTATCAATAGTTTTTGTGCATTTCAAAATCGAGTCCGTGTTCCTAAGTCATTAAAATAAAAAAAAGAACAAAAACTGTTAAATTATAGTTTCGTACTGCCCACTGTTTAATTTAAATTGAAAAAGAACAGAGCGCTTTTAAATTTTCAAATATGGAACTTAAGAAAACCACAAGTACAGGCGTCCTTGCCTTCGCCTTGGCCGTGGCGTGCGATCACATCGCGCGGTCTCAGCTCTTTGTTTGAATTCCGTACGACCTGCGTTGTTTTTTTTATTATCCACAAGATACACTTCATACAGCCTATAAATACATCCATTAACGTTTTTGTGCCTTGAAGATAAGATCCAAATCGATTTTTTTGGACTGTGACAACAGATAGATACATACGCGCAGTTCTTTGACCTATGTGATTTTTTTCGGAATGCGAAGAATTTTGTTTACACGCAAAAATTGAGGTTGTTGCCTTTTCTTTAGAAAAATATTATAGTTTTTATTTTATTGTAGCATTTGTACTACAAATGTTTTATTAACTATTATAAACCGGTAGTCTATAAAATAAAAAAATATATTACAAAAATCAGTAAGTACAGTCAAACATTTTAACTAAACAACTAAACTACTATTTTATATACAAAAAGGGCAATGATTTTACAATACACTGTTAAAATTTATGAGTTCATAAAAATTTTGATTTTTCTTTTGGTCACGGTCGAGACTCAAATTTTTTTTATTTTTAGTAATTTGCATAAATGCTTTTGGAAACCGTTTAGCAAGTTTTTGTGATGAGGTTTTTGTAAACATTTTACGTTGCTTTGATGGTATAGACTATTTGAATTTTAAGTTTTTTATTTATTTTATACTTATATATATAATGAAGCAAATAGTTTCTTTACTTTAAAAAAAAAAGTGATAAATACTTATGAACGTCTTTCTAAAACGACATTTGTATTACTTGTTTTTAAATAGGAATTGTCTCTTTATTTTTAAATTTTGATAATCATAGTAACGTTAATGTCAAGAAAACAATCAATCAAGCGCCGTCGCCTTTTATTTTTATTTATTTATTGAGCATAGGCTACAGAGCCATCATCTTAAATATTTAACAAAAAATTAAGAAACTTGAAACTTAAAGTAAAAATATTTTTTTTGAAGAACTGTAACTAAAAACACCCGCCATTTTTTTTCCTGAAATCCTGTGTCGCGGGTGCCATGGACACACAAATAGACAACAACAAATTACACCCAAACTGACGAGAGAAATAAACGTAGGCCATACAAATTTTTCTCCCGGCCCGGGTATCGAACCTGGGAACTCTGCGTGGTAATCGTTCAGTCACGGAGTCAGTTGTCGAACGGTTACCTGATTTGTATTTTAATTGGTTTCTGAAAAACGGAATTACATGTATTTGACAAATTTTAATGAAATTGGTGTGCGAAACGTAAAACGTAATTTGTGAATCTTAAAGGTGGAATACTTTCTTCAAATTTAAATGGGACGCATACTGAGGTACCCTCTTTCTAACAAAAAAATTATATTAATAAAGCGAAAAAACATGTTCACGTAGTATCTGAAACTAATAGAATAAATAGATTTCTACATAACAAGAAAAATCACAATAAGGCATTATCTAACAACGACTGCGAAATAGGAAGTTGATTACCAAGTTGTTTGTACTAGCGGCAAAATTTTCAAGACGCATCTTGTAACAAGTTTACTATCTAGTTTGCAGCGATTTATTTTTAGTATGTCAATTTTTAATTTATGTGAATATTAAAGTGTAACACTTAAACCACGTGACCATACGTCAAAAGTTTTCTAAACAGAAAATCAAAAAATACAAAATGTTACAAATCTATACCTTCTAATGTAATAAACGCGAAAGTACTCTTTTTATTACACCAAGTGACGGGACGAACAAGTCATGCGCCTGTTGGTAAGCGACACGCCTGTCCATAACAGTTGCAGTGTCACTCAGAACTTTAAATCACAAAGATCTGAGGGGCACTACCACTGCGCCCGACATCCTGAGATATAAGCTGATAAGTCCCATGTGCCTGTAATTTCACCAGCACTCCTACTCTTCATAGCGGGAACGCAGTAATGCTCATGTTACCATTTTGCTACTTCCCTGGACGAAATCTTTCACAAGGAATTCTACTGCTACTAAACTTTTTAACCAATTTTGGTATAGGAAATGAAACTATTTTTCCGGATTTAAATCGCGTATATTCGTTTTTTCAAACAAACCGACGTTTCGGGCCCTTTACAGGTCCCATGGTCACGGTTGACTGAGGTGGTATAGTCTTCAACCAGTTATGTCTAATATTAATGCAAACCGCCCTATTTTTTTCGCTATAGTTAGAATAGTTATTAATTAAATAGAAACATAATAGAAACATTCCAATTTACGCTACATTAAGTTTTACAAATTGTTTTATTGAATGAATTTATATTAAGTTTAATTTATTATTAATTATTAATAGAAATTAGAATGAACTAAAACATATTAATTAGTACTGCAGTCTTATGTCTGTTTGGGATTTTTCATTAGAGGAAATACTGGACCCCAAACTGGTGGTACGGAGAAACCATCTTCCCTGTTGAAATTAAGATGTTTTTGACAATTATGGTATATCATAAAAAAAATTAAAAGGGCTGAAATACGGGATGAAAGTTATTCAGTCTGCTTAAAGGTAAAACCACATAAGTGTAAATTCGCCATCTTACTGCAGATAAAACTCTTAGTAAGTTTATAGCTTTTTTGTTATTGCGTTTCACGTGCAGAAAGATAGCATAGCTAAATAATTTAAAGATTTTTTGTGGAAAATGTCACTTGCGTGGTTTTACTTTAAATTTATTAATAGTAGGCTACTTGAAGTACTTTATTCGTATGCGTACACAAAGTCGCGGGCATCAACTACATATTTACCAATATAATGTGAAATTTTATGACCGTCCCATTTAAGCATAAAAAAGTTATCGACTAATTTCGTTCGAAAATCTTTAAGCCTCTTTCAACGAATTTCTCTAAGTACTTGTTGCAGATCTTTGTTTTTGGTTTTTAACAACTTTTTAGCTGTACCGCCATTTGTGAGAAATCTAAGAAAGTATTTCTTCTCTCAGCCAGCTACCTTACCTAGCTACAGCTACCAGCGGCTGACTAGAGATGTGGAAAAGGTTTTGAAATTCGACCTTGACGATGGACTGTGGTGTGGTGTACCAAACTTTTCCTTTCGATGAAAAAAAAAAAATAATGACACGTTCAACTACTCGCGATTTGTCGTAAATTACTTATTTAGGTAATATAAATCCATTGGTATATTTGATTCTTATTATGACTGACATTAAATTGACAATGTTGACTACTTGTGTTTATTAATTATTTTAATTCGTCGAAGAACTAAAATAATTTCAATAATTACTTAATCACAAAAAATAAAAGTACAAGCAAGAATAAAAATTGATGAGGTGTAAGTTCAGCACGCATCCGAGGATAAACTTTTTCTTTTAGTTAAAAAAACTGATGTTTATAAGTTCAACTGTTTTTCTGTCATCTACCATTTTCCTCGCTATAGGTGAAAAGCTGTGTGTTTCGCTCGGGAGCTAAATTGTTTTGCGTCTCGTGCCTTGAAACTCTCGCTACGCTCAGCAATCTACTTTTTCTTTTGCTCATAATCTTTCTTCGCTTGCTCAGATTTCAATACAAGCTCTCGCGTGAAACTACAACTTTGAAGCCTTGCATAACAAATAACTTTTTTTTTATACATTTTTGCGTTGCACTGAAAAAGCTACATATACATTAAAAAAAAGAATAAATCCTTTTTCAAAAAAGGTTTTATTTTATTTTTTTGTAATAGACTAGACAGGATGTTTTTATTCTCAATTGCACAAGTAAGTTGGTGGAATTACAATGCAACGTGCCTAATCACGTCTTTATTACATACCTTATTACAAGTGCTGAGTAGATATAATTATTATGTAATTACTTGTATTACGATTGTCTGCAGATTTTACACAGACGATTGGAGGTAAAATAGCAGATCAAAGGAAATTGTTATTATAATATTAAAAAGATTCTAGTTACTTTGAGATTGTATCAATATTGCTAGTGGTACTTTTTAAGTACCTGAGACATATAGCAAAAAAAATATTTTTAAAGCGAGAGACGACACACGGGTGTTGCGTCGTTGCATGTAGATTGCAGCGCAAACGTAACGCGTTTCACGAGCGATTTTGATAAAATTACAGGCACATGGCACTTAGACATATTTTTTTATGATTCCTAGTGACGTGTGCGCCTGGTGGAAAACGATACACCTGTCCATAACAGTTGCAAAGCTTCAAATTGCAAAGATCTGAGGGGAACTACCACTACGCCCGTCACTCTGAGACATAAGTTGACAAGTTCCATGTGCCTGTAATTTTGCTGGTGAAATTACAGGTACATGGGACTTGTCAACTTATGTCTCAAGGTAACGGGCGCAGTGGCAGTGCCCCTCAGATCTTTGCGATATAAAGCTCTGAGTGGCACTACAACTACTATGGATAGGCATATCGTTTACCGCGTCGATTGGCGTGCAGACTGTCAAGTGTACTTGCAGATGATTTACAGTTTCAACTAAAAGTGCACTTTACTATTAACCGACATGAAAAAAAGGAGGTTACTCCGAAGTTTGTGAAACGATTTCGATGATTCTTTTTTGTTGGAAAGGATATACCTCCGTAGCAGTCGCATTCAAATTTCACACATGACAACTAACATAGTATTATCTCAAAATTGCTTTATGTTACTATTTAATTTCAAAGCGTCAGTGTGATCCTGTCACTTTGAAATTAAATCGAATACGAACGACATATAAATATAGCGAAATTTTGGACATAAATTATTAATATAACGCAATTTTTGAGTTAATACTATGTTAGTTGCCAAGTGCGATTTGAAGAAAATATCCCACCTCTAAGAGTGGCAAGATTCGAGGATGAATCCATTCACCCACTTTCCTGTAATTGATTTCAATAAAACTTGGCAAATAGATATAATTCCACACTTTTGAGCTTTGAGGATGGAAAAAAATAAAGGAATTTGAGTTCATTTTTTTTAATAAAAAAATTATTATTGTTATCGATTTACATCGTGGTTTTTCAACTTTATTATTCTGAATTATGTTATGACGCGCTTGTAGGCGTGATTTGAATATCAGCTGTCTGATCCAGGCGAGGCATGTCTCACGATAGACTGGTTTTTTCGACAAATAAAAACATAACAAATTTAAATTGACAATAACGTTTGGCGACGTATTTGTGCAAGGTTTCATATAGCAGATATTCTTAGGCGGCGCTATCAAAAAACTTACTGATTTGATAGAGAAATATTATTTTTATTTTGTCATCCCGAATCTAAATTACTATTCCTCCATCCTAATAAACAAGTATGACGTGAATGTACTGCTGCCTATGATCATCACAAGAATTTATTGTTTTTGTTTAGTATGCTTTTTTGCGTGTGACTAATATTGGCCGTACATCAGTCACAAATGGCAACACTGTGTGGCGAGTCAATACAGGGTGACTGCGGGGTCGTGTAACAACACAGTTAATTATGACTCTCTATACTACATTATTATTAGGAAGACAATGCAAAAATTTTGAAAGCCGTAAGGCAATAACTTTTTTTATGTAAATAAAAAATTGTTTAGTTCTTAGTACTTTAGTTCTTAGGATCATGGTCTGATGTTTTCTCAGATTGTTTTATTTGGTATCATGACTTTGGCATAACCCAAAAATCATTTTGACGTTGAGTTCTTAGGTTTTCGTGATTACAAACTGTTTAAACATTATTTTCGATGTGAATTGCGTATATTTGATTGTTTCAAAAAAAGCAACGTTTCGGGCCCTTTACCTTCTAGTTTCGGCTACCACTTGGCGTCTGATCAGTTCGTGTTCAAGGTTTTAGGTTTAGGTTCTAAGGTGTCCGTAATGTCAGCAATAATTTGAGATTCGTAATTATATGTATTAATGAAATGTTTCACTGTAATTATTAAAAAAACTATATAAATGAAATCGCAATCATTCCATGAATCGGGATCACGACCCCACAGGCACCCTGTATAAAATATATATAAAAGTAAAATTCAATTCAAATATACAAAAATTAGTGATGTCACTAAGTAATGCGTTAGTTAAAAAGAATTCTTATGTTATAATCAACAAATGTTGAAAGTTACCGTCTTTATAATCGCTCATGTTGACTGGTTCCATGGTGACAGGAATAATAGGGGTCTCCGTTGGTGAGGACGTCTCATTTCTTGACGGTGATGATGTAGTTGACGATGATGACGATAAATGTTCTGAAAGTGAGCGTATTAATTTAATTAAAGATTTCTTAATTTCAGATGTTTATAGTAAGGAATATTAAGTAACAATAAACTACGTTAACGTTGTTCAAAATCATTGATTTCAATCGCGAATTATGTTTCAAAGAAGACTTGGGGGGATGGAGTGCTAGAAGGTCGGGATGGAAAGAAACTGAGAGTGTTAGGACGTGGTAAAGTGAGCCATGTAACTGTAGTGTGAAGGTGAAGATAGCAGAAGATGGAGACACGGAGTTGGAGGCCTTTGCCCTCGACTCTTGGTGACTAAGGACAGAGGTGCAGAACCGAAGAGCAGCGAGGTTGTAAGCCGGATAGCGGCTGTAGAGCGGAAGCAGAGGGCAGCGAGGAATGATGACGAGACGGCGGTGAATGTGCAGCAGTGGATTATATCACTTTATACTCGGAGGTGGGGTTCTACTTCATCTTGAGCGTCGGCTTCACTTACCCCTGCCGCTCCAAATACGCTTGGTGAAGGTGAGGCACACAGTCCAGGTAGGAGGAGCGTAAACGTAAAGACCAGGTTTAGCATGAGGCAATCGAGGAACTGTTCATTAGGCAGGTGCGTAAACGCGGTAGGAGTAAGGCCAGGTACAGGGCTTTGAAAAGGTGAGACTTCGTATATTTACTAGATCTGGTGAAGACCAGATGCCTCCAAGGTCGGTACAAGAATGACGAGCGTTTGGTAGAGCGAGAGAGAGCATGGAAATTCGAATAGCCAATTTTGAATTTGAAATGAGGAGCCAAAATGTGAGCGGGTAGAAGCGGAAACATTTCTACTGCTCAATCTTAGCAGTAGAAACGTTTCCGCTTCTATCAAATCAAAGGAAGAGTAATTTATAGGATCATCTATGGAAGAATAGATTGTAGAGGATAACAGATCTGTTCAACAATGTCAACATTTAAAAATATTAAATACGAAACAAATATGTTTTTAAGGTGAAATTGATGAAATAGTACGTAATTAGCATTGGAAAAATGAATAGTAGAATTCGGAGATATAGTATCGGAGATACAGTACGATAGAATATGTCAAGATCTGGAGATCAGACATGAAAAGTGACATGAAAAATTTAGACACTAATATAAGTAAATATTATTTGGAACTCTTTCAGGAATCAGCAAAAGTAAGGGCGTTTCCTAGAAAATTTATAATGAGAGAGAGACGAAGATGATAGAGATCCGTAGTTTTAAACTACAGACTGTATGAGTTTTGTAACTTTCGTAACAATAAAATTTTGCGAAACAAGTTAAATTAAAAAAATAATATAACCATCACATACTAACCAGTCTCCGTAGATAATATAGACTGTGTTGCATTAGCAACAACGGTAGTCGCTTCAGTGGTATTCCCTTCAGTCTTATTACTAACAGAAGTAAACGTTGTTAGTCCAAAACTGGAAGTGGAAGTTGGTACTGTAGGAGTCAATGTTACATTTACTGTAAATTCTAATACAGGCGCTTCTGTTCCTTCGTTTGTTACTTCTGTAGAAGGCAAAGAAGTTGTTGTGGACGTCGAAGATATCGTCGAAGACATAGTCGATGATGATGTTATTTCCGTTGTCGACTCCATTGGCGTTTCAGTGGTTTGTACTGTTGTTTCTGGTGATGTTTCCTCTGCTTGCGTTGTTTGTGTCGTTTCTGCAGTCGTTGTTTGTTCTGTTGTGGAAGATGTACTAGTAGTAGTAGATGTTGTAGTCGTTGATGTTGTTTCAGGTTTTGGTGGTATAGTTGAGATGAGAACCCAGCCTTCTGGTGGTGTGATTGGTGACCATATTTCTGGAAATTGAAATAATGCAGAGTTAACAATACATTCCGTAATTACAAAGTTTGGATCGCATTTATTATTAATTATATTGCCGATTATACGGTTGAACTCGAATTCGCAAAAGCGATAGACACATACATTCGCAAAAGTGACAAACTAAAGACAATTTATTATCACCACCGCTAAGCTTCGGAAAAATTACAAGTCAAAACTAACAAAATCTCGTCTCCGACTAATTATTTGCACTCTCATGCAACTCTCCATCCATGGACTTCTAGTGCCCTTTCTATCTACTTAACAATACCTAAAAAATAAATGGACCGATTGGGAGATTGATGTAATCCTAGCGGGAAATGTCGACGTATTCTTGTCCCATATAGTTTAAAATATAAAAAACGCTGTTTAGGTAAAAACATCGAGTATATAACCAGAAATAGAAACGAAATATCATTTAATTGGTTTGAAACCTATTCTGTCAAATAAATCATTGCGGTGACAACTGCGCTCCGATTGGCCAGCTCGAATTCGAAACAATTGATGGATGTCGTCAATTGTTTCACTTCAAATCGACCAGTTTAACTTGAGCTTTGCTGAAATGGACGAAAATTGAAAAATTACATATATAAATATTTAATTGAATTGATATTCAATTATTTTTTATATGAAATTTTTCCACTAGTTCCATTGACTTACAATTATATGGACGTCGGGTCCGCGCTAAAAAGTGTCCGCACTTGTAAGGCGCTAAAATCGTATACAGAGCGCGACACTCCGCTTTAGTCTTCATTTGTTCTACTGACAGCGCGATACTGCGATGACATTACAATTTAAATTTCGAATAGGTTGACTTGGGACATTTTTTTCGTGGTTTTTGTATTAGACCCGTCGTCCATTTATTTGTAAGTCAATGACTAGTTCGTTATAATTTAATACAAAGATTAACACAAAGATCGAACAATCAGAAAAAAATCCTTCGATTCAGCCGGATTCATACCGAACGTCTTCTAGCATACCGTGTCATACGCTATACCAACTAAACCACGGAACGAACCAGCAGAATTGTAAGTCAATGAGCAGACCTCACGAATTTTTCTATGTGTTTTGTTGTCGTATCTTTGAATTTGGTTTTACAACGACTTGAACGAACGAACGAATTTGGCCGCTTTGAAGGATTTTTTCTGAGTGTTCGATCTTTGTATTAATAATTATAACAAATTACATATATTTCATTATCTATGAAATGTTCGTTCCGTTTCTTTTGCAATTAGATGTTTTACTGTTTTTCCCACATCACCGAATGGATCAGCCCCCCCATTGTTAGAAATATTATCTTTATTACAATAAATGTAGAATATTTCTGAATTATACGGACACGTACACACAGGTCAGTTGTTGGCGCTGTACTATTTCAGCTTTCTTTGTGATTTAAGCGCAAAGGAGAGTTGATATTTAAAAGTGATATAAGGCTCATTTGCCTGATGAGTTGCCAGGGGTGGATGACCCTTATTTCGTCTCTTTTTCGTTATATTATCGATGGGTGACGATGCTTTTTTTTTAAATAATATTAAGTGACGAAACGAACAAACCGTGCGCCTGAAGGTAAGCGACATGCCTATCCATAACAGTTGCAGTGCCACTCAGAGCTTTAAATCTCAAAGATCTAAGGGGCACTGCTACTGCGCCCGTCACCCTGAGACATAAGTTGACAAGTACCATGTGCCTGTAATAGCATCACCCTGGCGGTAAGTCAGAGGTCATGGCTAGATATGTACATGTAGATTTGTTTAATCTATATAAAAATGTACAATAAATAGCTTTTAAAAGCAAACAGTTCTTTAACTGTAAAAGAACAGTGGCTTAACCTTTGACCTCTCTGTATAAAATAAAGTAGAGTTTAAATAGTGTCTTTAGGTATTTTAGATCTATACTCTAGCCAAATTCGATGTAGAGTAAATGTCAACAAACAAAAACATATTATTTTTAGGGTTTTCATCTCAGGCAAAGCAAGCCTTAATAATGAGCATTGAAAAAAATGTTATTTTCCTATGCCATCATTGGTTGCCTGGCAACGTTTTGTTAGTAAACATTCTACATCGAATTTGACTAGAGTATAGGTATTAGTGTGGTTATCTTGCACTCATTATTTACAGAATCTATATTTAATTTACTTGAATTTCGCTGATTTTATCTGTAAAGCTGACGTCTTTAGATATATCTCGAGATATCGGCGAGTACCTCACATTAAGGTCACTAGATATCTTTCACGATAATCGTGACTTTGATGCCCCAGTTGGTAGGGTCTGTTGGGAATTAGCCCGGCAAATATCTGTAATAATTTATCTGATGCTGCGAAATTGTAACGGAGATCATTTTATAGAAATGTGGTACACGGAGAAGGTAGACAATACTTGCAGACAGACGTCTGGTCTAGGGAAACGGGAATACAGGGTGTAATCATTAATCGTGCTCAGACGATTATTATGTAAATAAATATAAGAGATATCAAAAACCTTTAAAATGATATCGAACACACAATAATTTTAAAAATAAAACTTGAAATATCCAAAATTGTAACGTTAATTACTCCATTTAATATGAAATTCGTAAAGAGGCATTAGTTTCGAACAACTGCTTGGAATACGAAATTATGTACTTACTTGACGGTAAATAAGACATTGTTTTTAATCAATTAAAATGTAGTTTTATTATATATTATTTCTACCAGCATCGGTATCTGTAAACCTATTGTTACTTCTTGTGTGTGTAGTTTCAAAGTAATATAGGTACACTAACATTAGTTAAAAAGTGTTATCTGAAATAAATTATTATTATTATTATTATTAAAATAGGGAAACAGCAGTTTTTCTACGAGTATCATATAAAATGTATGGAGGCGTTTAACGTTAAAATGTTGAATGTTTCAACTACACTGAAAGTAGAGTGAATAAACTGGACAATCAAGAGGGGAGACCAGGATATCTAAGACACGGGGTATCCTAATTTAGGTTCCCTATCTCTTACAAAATGGAATCTTGAAACTCTATACTGTAACTAGTAAACCTATCTAATGTGAGAGCAAATAAAAATGTGTTGTTATTATCATTTCTAGTTTTACTTAAAAAGATTTATTGATGACATTTTACTCATTACTTTTGATATCAGTTTAAAGTAAAGTAAAGGTTTAAAGTGAATAGTTAAGTGTAAAGGTTTTTGATATCTCTCATATTTACGGAATTAACGCCTTAGCACACTTAACGATTACACTCTGTATGAAATAAGTTTTAATGAAAATAAATATTCGAGTATTTTATAAATTGTGTAGCTTATACGTTACACAACTTGTAAAATTTATTATATATATAAAAAGATCAAAGTATGTTCACAACAATGTAAAGAAGTCTACTTTTTGACAACGTTTGCATTTCACCAAGTTTCCGAAGATTTCAAATGTAATTTGATTATCTACGAAATAAAGATATCGACTAATTTCGTTTGTAGAATCGAAAACCGAAATCGTTCAACCTCTGAAAAGTTATCATTTTGCAGATGTGACCTTATTACACCAAACGTGCGAATTGTTTTCCTTTTTTATCAGTCACGTAAAAACAGGTGCAGTAGCACAAAAATGTTTACATTGTCTCTTTTTGTAATTGGTTTAAAATATACTTGACTTTATTTTACATTTTGATGACCTCAGTGGCCTAATGATTTACATTGTTGGCACTGAATGCAGAAGCCCCGGGTTTCGATTCAGAGTCGGATAAATTTGGGAAATGAATTCATTGTACAGGGTTTATCTAGTTTGAGACTAGGCAATTGGCGTCGTAGGCTGGCACCCATTATAATAATTTTATGTACATTAATATTTTATGTCATTCTGTTATGCTTGTAAATTTATATAGTACATTGTGTATTAAGGACTTATAAGAAATTATAAACGAGGGTCTATTAGAAGCCCGAATCCAAAGGCTGAGGGCTTTAATAACAGGAGTTTTGTATTTTTTTACCGTCCGTGTTGCATACAATGTTTTTCATCACATTTGCGAGGAAATAAATACAATGTTTATTTTGTTGTATGAATGAATAAATATGGTTCACAACACAACGATTGTGGGTTTAGCAAATGGCGGGTATTTTCTTTATCAATAGATGGCCAGCTAGCTATACTTCCATAGATAATACAACTCGAACTGAAATGTCGTAAAAAGAAAAGACGCACACAGCCATGGTGGATTGTAAAATAATTAAAATAAATTAAAAGAAATTCTTAATATTAAGTATTTAAGTACTATGTGGCTGAAGTGCAAATAAAAAGTGAGAATAGCTGATGGAACGTGGATAGCTGCAGGATGATGACTGAGGCAGCTGGGAGATCAATATTGATGTAACCCAGTGGTCATCCGATGGAGGCTCAAGCCTGTGTCGTCGTTGTGGCAGCATGCACGTTGAAGACTATTTAGGGAAACAGAAAGTAGTAATGTTTAGAAATTTGTTAGGATCGTTCAGCCAGTTTAGGGTCGCTGAAATAAAGTGTTAGGGTTTAGTCAGGTTCCCTAATTAGCTAGGATAGCTAACGAGTAAATATATTGTGATTTGTTTGATTAGGATGTGGTCATGGTCTGTCCTTTTAGATAGGTTTTTGGCAGACTAAAGCCATAGCCTCCTCGGTGGTTACTTGTTGGTAAGTTGATAGCTTCCGAGCAGTGTGTGGCTAGCCTGTAGTAAAGGCTGATCACCGATGTAAGTTGCCTATCATAGGTAGAGCACCAGCTAGGGATATTCACCCCTTCAGCTGTGAGGAAGAGGGATGTAGACTAGGCTGTACTCTATGAGTAGAATTACTGGCTGAGTGGATAGATTCATAATTAGAATGCTTTGAAAAAGAACTAAGAGAAAAGAATGGAAGATCTTGACATTAAGATTATTGATTTGTAACCCAAAACATGTAAAGAAGTGAAATAAAGTATATTTTTAAGGATTATTCCAGTTTATATTCATAAAAGTACCTCTC